GCCAGAGGGAGGCCAGAACCCAGCACTCTCTGGTAGTGTGCTGAGATCACACCTGCTATACTGTTAGAGGTAGGAGCCCACCCTCTCAGCCTATCTGCTAGAACCTCAGCCTTAGCCTACCAAAGCCAGATCTGCCCTGGGGCCTTGGGAGGGGCCTCAGGAAATCCCAGGTAGGGGGATAGGTATGGAGCAATTAGGGGAGGCTCACCACCATGTGGAGGCAGGATCTGGCACTCTCAGGCAGTCCCTTTCATTTTCAGCCTCTATGCCAAAAGGAGGCCAGAACCCGGCACTCTGTCGGTTTGCTGAAATCACAGACGCTACCTTATGTTTCTTTTTTTTTTTTTTTTTAACATTTAATTTGTACATCTATTTTTTTTTATTTTAAATTTTTTTTTACAATTAAAGTTACAGTTTTAACAATATGCAAAATATTACAGTAATTCAGATTTTTTGGCATAATGATTACAGATTTGATAAATACATTTTATATCTCATAATAGCGATGAGGATTATACAAAAGCTATTAAAACAATTATGAGAATAAATTCTATTGTCACTTAAGTATCTAAAGCTATTTTCCTTTGCGTTCTTCCAGAATGATTTGTTCTTATTCTTTACCTTAATTTGAGGGACTTCAAGAAGATACTTGTTTTTTGTTTTTTTTTTTTCATACAGAAGAATTCATTCCAAGGCAATTGACATTGAGACGTTTTCACATGCATTTCTAATCTCTATATACATGACTATCACTGGTCACAGTTTCTTTTAAGATTTTATTTATTTATTTGTAAGTGTATGCTCGTGTGAGTGTGTGTGTGTGTGTGTGTGTGTGTGTGTGTTTGTACTTGTGCACATGCATGGAGACCAGAAGAGGACATTGGGTATTCTCTGTATCACTCTCTGTCCATTCCTTTTGAGGCAGGATCCCTCCTTGAACCTGGGGCTCTTGCCATCTCAACTAGGCTAGAAGCCATTAAGCCCTATCCATGTTCCCCTTGGAGCTGAGGTTACAAGTATACAGAGGATGCCCTGTTTGTTTTGTGGGTGCTAGTATCCAAATTCCAGTCCTCATGATTGCAGAGCAAGCACCCTTAAATGCTGAACCATCTCTCCAGCACTTTTTTTTCCTGAGGTAAAATTTATGTAGCTTGAACTGTTTTAAAACTGCACAATTTACTGGCATTTCCACTTTCAGAGCGTTATTAGACCACTCCCTTTCTTTAATTCCAGAACACTTTCATCACCGAAGAGAAAATCCTGTATCCATTAAGCTCCCCATCTGATATTTTATATACATGGAGTTGTCAGAGTAAGGTAACAATTCTGAGGTCAGAAATAGCTCATTTCACATAAAATGCGTGGCCAAGGCCTGGGAACACAGACTCAAGTTACCCTGAAAGACAATTCATTAGTTGAAGAGAATTATGTGATTTTTAATAACCATAGAAAAAAGAAAAGCATGTCATCAAGTAGGTGGGTTTCAAAGGAGTAGGGGAACTTCTTCCACAGGATTTAGATGTTATCTATTAACAAGGTGAAGAAGTCTTACTTTGCATTAGGATTGGTAGAGGCTGGAGACCTGCCAGACTGAGTATGCATTCCAGAGACATGGGTTGTAATTCATTTGGTAGAGTGCTTGCTTAGCTTCCTTGAAGCCCTCCCTGGGTTCCATTTCTGGCACATGCCTATAAATCACTTGGATGGTAGGGGCAGAAGGATCAGAAGTTCAAGGTCATCCTCAACTATAAGTTCAGTGCCAACCTGGAATACATGTCTCAAAATATATAATTTGTTTATGCATTCCAAGAGTTTTATCTAGTAGCCACCAAAGTGGTAGGTCAGATATAGAGGTTGGTAGTGAGGAGCTGTTTAAAAGAACTGAAGAGAGCCCTGGTAACATTGGCTTCTTGACTTCCACAGTCAGTGCTCCAGTCAGCAAAGACTAAATTTAGATGATTTCTTGGGAGAAACTTAGTTCATAGTATTAATAGGCAACCTTTTGTGTTTTTTACCCAACATAATATCTTCAGCAGCTAGAGCTTAATGGCTGAGTGATTTGCAATTTACCCCTTGGTATATGTGTTGATAGGCTTTGGATTGTAGGTACTGTAATACTGCTATGAATATCCCTAGGCAGGGAACTATTTGAGTGTCTGTTCTCCATTCTGTTTTCATTTGTTTTGCTTTGTTTTTTGCCTTTTTTCTCTTTTTCTTTTTGACATAGGGATTTGCTGCATAGCTCAGATTGGCCAGCAACTCCCTGTGTGGCTCTGTCTGGCCTCAAACTCCTTTCTGTAGCTTCGCTGTCAGGCACATTCCTGGATCAGGGTCCTTTTGTAAAGCTCCATGTGCCACTCTGATGGTTTAGTCCAGCTATCATTTGCCAGGAAAGCACAGGGGGATCACTGTGGCACGGTTGTGATTCCAGCTCATGCTAGTTGCAGTCACAGCAAGCTGAATTTGTAGTCATCATTGTTTTATCACATCTCACATCTGCTGAGCTGAAGTCATTGTCTATATAAGTCTGTTCTCTGAAATCTGTTCAGTTCAATTCTCTTGGTCAGCTAATTGCATATGTGGCCCGCTCAGTTTCTGTTAGCTTCTTTTTTCCTAAATGTGTTCACACTTTCATGTTTCTTTGGTTTTTCTCAAATTTTTATGTTAATAGCATTTTATTTATATATATATATTTTATTGATTTTATTTTTATATATAAATATTTGGTCTGCATGTATATAAGTGCACCCATGTTGTGCAGTGCCTGTGTAGACCAGAAGAAAGTGTCAGGTCCCCTGGAACTGGAGCTACAGGCAGTTGTTAGCTGCCATGTGGGTGCTGGGAACTGAACCCAGGGCCTCTGCAAGAGCAGCCATTCTCTGAGTGCTCTTCACCACTGAGCCATCTCTCCAGCCCCTTACTTATTGTAACAACTTTGGATTCTGGTTTATTCCCTCTAAAAGTAGCAATTGGTTCTTTCAAAAGATTTATTTATTTATGTGTATGCATATGTGTACATGTGATCAGGTTCTGTTGCTACCAGGAAAGGTTATCAGATCCCTTGGAGCTGGAGTTATAGGTGGTTGCTGGCTACCCAGAATGAGTGCTGGTAACTGAATTTTGGTCCTCTGTAAGAGTGGAGAGTACTGTTAACTACTGAGCCATCTCTCCAGTGCCTATAACTTTTTTTTAAAGTACCTAGCCTGATCTGAATCTAAAATGTACCTTCCCAAAGGGTGTAGTTGCTGCTGACTGTGAATAATTACTTTTTGTTTATTTTTCTCCTACCTTTCCATAGGCATTGCATAGCAGAGGTGGGTCCAGATTATACTCTGGCAGTAGATGTGTGTAGGCTAGGGGGTACATTCAGCCCTGAGGCTGCGTTCAGGTGTGCCACTGTCAGTTTTCTCTGGGCCTGCTGGTTGTTTGTTATATGGATGACTTGGACTTGCCCTTGACTATGTACAGTGCATACTCCTGTGGTCAACCTAGGTGTATGCTGGGCCTATCCCTATGGCAGAGCCTCCTGAGACGCATAAGTCCTTGGCTGGTCCACTGGTCCATATCTGCTGGTGGTGATGATAGGCTCAGGCTGCCCATGCTGTAGCATCCTCCATGTTTGCTGACATTTTGGAAGCCTTTTGGCAGCAAACTGCACAAGGCTTTACCATCTTATGAATGCTGCTCCTACCCAGAGCCCAGTGATCTCAGGAGCAAGGTGGCTTAGTTTGTACCAAGTTAGGTTGCTGTCCAGGGGACTGTGATTGATTTGGGGAGGGTTTTGTTTTGTTTTGTTTTGTTTTTGGTCGAACTTCTCACTGCTGTGGAGGGAGTGGACAGGCAGGGCAGAGCCTCTGCTGGACCTGTGCGTGTGTGTGTGGTGTGTGTGTGTGTGTGTGTGTGTGTGTGTGTGTGTGTGTGTGTGTATATATATATATATTGGTAAATAGAGAGATGCCTAGATGCCCGGTAGTAGGGTGCAAGACCTGTAGAGCAGGAATGCCTTGGGGCATGTTTTACAGGATCCCAGGTAAGACCCTGTAGTACCATTAGGTACCAGGAAAGTAAGCAGGTAAAAAGAAGGGCCAGCCAGTTATATCTGTTTTAAATGCCATGTGAGAATAAGTCTAGATGCAAGCTGCTGTGCTGTGTGGGGCGAGAAGCAACCTGGAAGAGGTAGAGTTACATGTGCTAGACAGGTGTAAGTGATGCAGGGATTGCATGAGTGAGTTGAAGGGGCTAACTGATGAGATACAACACTAGTTATTTAAGATCATACTCCATAAAGGAGGGTAGCCAAGATACATGGGACAGATCTGAGAGTTGCTAGAATAAGGTGATGGAGGTGTAGGGTTGGGGTGGGGCTGCTGGTTACCATTCCTTTTCTTTGGTATATGTTTAGAAATCGTAATCAGCTAGGGGTCAAAGGGGACTAACTGAGGAGCAAGGGGCATAGGCAAATGTGCTGTCATCACAATAATGTATTGATTGGAGAGATCTGCTCCCAACTGTCTGTTCTAGGTTTTGGAGAAGCATGTTTATATTCAGAAAATTCTAGAAGCATGACTAGAATTTTTATAAGAGCCATGTAATAACAGCCAGACAAAAGGTGTTCATGAGAAACCAGTAGTCAGCTTGTACAGAGGCACTACCAGCTGAGTGTGTGGTGGAGAGGGACAGCAGTGATAAGCACAGAGCACCAAGAACTAGCCTAAGACAGGTAGTGTAATCTCTGCAGTTGTAGACTATACAGAAATATAGCGTACTTGACTTTGTGGCTAGAAGGTAGCCTTTCCAAAGTAATCCTGACCAGAGAGCAAATTCCATTTGGAACACAGTCTGTGGACAGAATGTGTAAGAGACTGTCTGACAAAGATGAGAAAGGCCTTGGGTTAGACAGAGGGTGGCATGGGAGACTCCTCCAGATACTCAGCTTGGTGTGAGCCAGGCAGGGCCTCTGGGAGGTGACTGTGTGGCGTTTTTTTCCCTCTTTGTTGCAGTTGGAGCAGTGCCAGTCCTTTCCAAAGACGCCTTCTCAGGCGAGAAGGGGCGCCGCTCCAATCAGGTGAAGACCCCACACAACCCCTTGGACTCCAGTGCCCCCCTGATGAAGAAGGGGAAGCAGAGGGAGATTCCTAAGGCCAAGAAGCCCACCTCACTGAAGAAGGTGTGTGGTCTGATTCCATGGAAGCAGGGCACTGAAAACACTAATTGAGTTTTATATATCTGTATTGTCTGTCTGCAGCTCATAGACCTTTATTTAGCTTTTTAGTCACTGTACTTGGGACTGAGCCTAGAGCATTGCACATGCTAGGCAAGCACTCTACCACTGAGCCATATCCCGAGCCCAGGCCTTTGGCTTTTAAAGTTTATATTACAGATCACGTTATACCGAGCTGTGTCCAAGCTTCCCTAACAAATGATCTCTCACTTTCCCCATGTAACAGGATAGAGGATGTGAGGCAAAGAAAATCTCTTTCTTTTTTCTTTGCGGCAGTACAGAAACCCAGAAGTGAGGAAATTGCATTTTCCTTCCTCACACATTCTGCTTCTCTCATATTGACCTGCCAGTGCCTGTTGACAGCTTCTGTACAAACCTCTCATTCATTACATGGCCCTGTGGTGTGTGCTCTGTCCATTTAGATGTCTATGGTCAAGTGACTTCAGAACCCAGGGCTCTCATGTTGGCCTTGTGTCCTCAGGGAGAACGACGCTATGTTCCTACCAAGTGGGGGTTAGGGGACATTGCCACTCCAAAGGCATGACCAGGCACATTCAACAAGCTGAACTTGGGGCGGTTTATTGGTTAGAAGAGTTTATCTTTTAGGTACAAGTATGTAGGTGTTTCAATCATTTGTTTAATTTTAAGATTATTTTAAAAGAACGGCAAGAGAGAATGCAGCAGAGACTCCAAGAAAATGCCGCAAGCCTGGCTGTGGGCAGCAATGATGCTCAGGATGCAGAGGATGGTGCTGATGACCAGACCCCTGACCAGGTCCACCTGAAAGGTACGATTCTGTGTGTTTGCACCTGAAAGAATCCTTCAGGTAGAAGCAGCCCTGAGGGTGATGAGCTGTGGTAGAAATGGACTTTGCCAGCCCTCCACATGAGCCTTGTGGTAGAATGCAGGTCAGCATTGTGCCTGAGCGATATGGTTTCCACACTCCAGCTTTACGGGGAGAGGAGCCTCTTGCCAAGTGTGGTCTATGTGACACTGGGTATTCTACTACCAACCACAGTACTGTTTACCAACAAGTGTATGGGACCTGTATCATAAAAGTGAATGTGTGGTTTTCAAGAAAATGCGTACTAAGTTGTACATTGAGGGGAGTATACACAGTGTGTAAGTGTATAGCTGAAGGACTTTCCACAACTTGAGCACAACCCCGTGACCCTCCCCATATGTCCTCTAGTCAGAGGCCTACCCGACGAACACTGTCCCAGTGTGCCTCCAACTGAGACTTTGGCCTTGCCACAGTGCAGCTGTGCTGGATGCCACACTGACTCCACCTTCTTTTTTGCAGATAGAGCAGTTCATTGTTTTCATTACCATATAGTATTTGGCTGGATGAGTGTTCCCAGTATGGGCGGACACTGAGGCAGCTTCTACCCTGGCTGGTAGAAGTGAGTCTGCCCTGGATAGTGTTGCTGGTGTTTCTTGTAATACATGAGCCCTTACTTCTGTGGGCATTTACCTGGGGGTAGAGTTGTTTTCAGAGCTCTGCCACACACATTCCCAGGTGTCCTGCCAGTAACACTGGGTGGATGAGACTTGTAGGTACTCCCGTCCTCATGGGCCATGGGCATTGTCTTTTTTTGTGCTTGCTGCCCTGGAGGATGAGGGGTATGTTCTTGAGTTCCTTCCCGTGAGATGTTGCCTTGCTTGTACCTTGGTACTTTGTAGTAGTAACAGGTTGGAGATGCCAAGTTGATATGTTATATGCAGCCCAGTCAGGCACTCTTAGTTTTATTGTGGGGTTTTTGTTGTTGGTTGGTTGGTTGTTTGCAACACTGAGGAGCAAACTCTGGGTCGACAGCTCTGCACCGCTAGCCCAAGGCTCCCATAGTTTAGATGTTGAAGCTCAGTGTTTTTTTAGAAGGTTGTTTGACAAAGGACTGGCTGAAACATTTAAGCATAAAAACTCAGAACTCTAACCCTGGAGGTAGGGGAGGTGTTTGTGTTTATTTTTGTGTTTGTTTGAGACAGGGTCTCACTGTGTACCCCTGGCTGACTTGGAACTCACTATATAGACCAGGCTGGCCTCAAACTCAGAGCGAGCACCTGCCTCTGCCTGCTGTGCGTTAGGATTAAAGATGTACACCATGATGTTTAGCAAGTAATCCTGTTGTTTAAAATTTCCTAATACGGTATTCTTTAGATTCCAAAATTAAAAGGTCGATTTGGTCACTTAAAATAATTAAAATGGCAACTTTTCTGTATTTTACTCTATTTTCAGTATCTTGAAAATGAATAGGTAACAGACTTGAGGAGGGTAGACATCTGGGAAGACAAGAAAGCTGCTCTGAGAGTTTCTACCAGCCTTTCTGTCTTCTTGAAGGCTGTGTTATACCTTGTGGCCTTCTCTGCAGTGCGTTCTGCAAGTTGGTGGGTGTATTACTTACTTTTCTGTTGCTGTGATAGAAACACTAACCAAAGCAATTTATAGAAGGAAGGGTTTATTTGAGCTTACTGTTCCAAGGGGACAAGAGTCTATCACAGCAGGAAGGCATGGTGGCAGAGGTGGCTGGAGGAGCAGAAGCTAAGCTCTCATATCTTCAAGCAGGCACAGGAAACAAGAGAGCCACTGGAGATCCAACAAGGCTTAAGAACTCTCTAAGCCTGCCCCCTGTGACGTGCTTCCTCCAGGATAGCCACATCTAAGACCTGGGGACAAAAAGCCCAATACTTGGAGCCTATGGGGGCCATTTGTATTCAAACCACCACAGTGGGTGTAGGGCTGCTGGTGTGTCATTGGCGCAGCTCTGGGCTGGTACCATGTGGCTGTCTGTTACACAGGCCTTCTGTGTACACAGTGATTTTTTTTTTTTCCTTGAAGGTCCAGAGAGGACAGAAGAACCATTGTCCCCCATACTTGTGGTTGAGGAAGAGTCCGAAGAGCCACTTGGCACAGAACTCCAGAGGGACCCAGAGGCCTGCCAGCCTGCCCCCAACCATGCCGCCTTTCCCAAGATCCACAGCCGGAGGTTCCGGGAGTGAGTGAGCACTTGCTGCTAGGGCTAGGGTTCAGTCTGGTTTCTCTCTCCTGTAGGGCACAGCACCACAGGCTGTGCAGCTGGGCCACACTATTTAAAGGTGCCTGGGTCACTAGCTATGGAGGGTGGCTGGGATGTGGGCATTCCAGTCTTGTGTGTGTCTGCATGTACTGCAGTTCTGTCCTGCTGGTAATGCTGAAAGAGGTGTCTTGAGTCCACATTTGAAGTACAGATGCAGTGAGGTGAAGTGATAACAATGGGCCTTGCCATGCTGCAGTTTAAGAATGGAGTTTCTGGGGCTGGAGAGATGGCTCAGTGGTTGTTCTTACAGAAGACCCGGGTTTGAATCCCAGCACCCACAAGGCAGCTAACAACTGTCCGTAACTCCAGTCCCAGGGGATCTGACAGCCTCTTCTGACCTCTACGGGCATTGCACGACAGGGGTGCACTTACCTACACGCAGGCAATGCATGCATACACATAATTTTTTTTTTTTATGGAATTTCTTTCTCTTTTTTCTTCTATTTTTTTCCTTTCTTCCTCTTCCTCCTCTTCTCCCGCCCAACATCTCTCTCTCCCTCTGTCTTTCTGTCTCTCACTGTATTTACTCTTTTTTGATATAGTCTCATTGTGTAGCCCAGGCTGGCCTTAGCCTTGAACTCACACTGCTGCTTCCTCAGCCCCTCAGTACTGCGAGTATAGGTGTGGGCCACTGAACCCAGCTTCAGTTTAGTTCCTGGGGCAGGATGTCTTTGATGTTTGCTCACACCTCCTTATCACTGCCTAGGGCTCCTCTGGGCAACCTGTCCAGGTGTTTGTGTTCATGGGGGAGAGGCCAGATAGGAGATTGTGTAAGCCATGGAGGGCAGACCTCCCTTGTAGTGGGCAGGGGGTTGCTTCCATCCATCTCTTGTGCCCCAGGCTCATCAGGATTCCCCACAGCCCTGATGAGTGCTGGTACCCCCATGAGTCCTATCTGATACTTTCTTTCCTCCCTTCTCCCTGGGGTTCCTTTCAGCTACTGCAGCCAGATGCTCAGTAAAGAAGTGGACGCTTGTGTCACGGGTCTGCTCAAGGAACTGGTACGCTTCCAAGACCGGATGTACCAGAAGGATCCAGTCAAGGCTAAGACCAAACGCCGGCTGGTGCTGGGACTGAGGGAAGTTCTTAAACACCTGAAGCTCAGGAAGCTGAAGTGCATCATCATCTCCCCCAACTGTGAGAAGACACAGTCCAAAGGTAACAACATCTCCATAGTGTCCTGGTGCATGGGCTCCTGTGCCAGCCCCCAGTGTGCAGTGTGTGTTCCTCACAGTCAGCCACTGCTCCTGATCAATGGGTGTCTTACTTTCACTTTTGCTCTTAACCCCTAACCCAACTTTAACCGTAGTCCTAAACCAACCTTCCTCTGACTGAGCACTTCCCCTCTGAGGCTGGCCAGCAAGCCTCCCTCTGGCAACAGGTTAGGTTGTGTGCCTGTGCCATACAGGCTGCAGCCCTGGAGCTTAGGTGTTCACTCAAGACCTTGTTCCTGTACAGGGCTTTGGTCCTGTCTGCAGAGTTATTCACTCTGGTTAATTCCTCTGCTCACTCATTACCAGTGAATTTCTCAGAATACATGGCCAATTTACCAGGGCTGGAAGGAGGCTGTGGTGAGGCGGTGAAGGCTATCTGTCTGTACTGTACCATTATGGCTCTAGGAGGACTTTCCTGTCTGTGTTGTATCCTGCTGGGGTCAGTGGTAGAAGGAGTTGTTAGGAACAGAGTGCCATCACTCTTGTACAACCTTATCATCTTGTCACGGCACAACATTCCCCTCCTGGGAATGTCTTTCTAAGCATGAGCCCTTCCCCAGTCCCACTCCTTTCTCCTGGTTGCAGCCTTCAACTTGGCCATAGTCACACTTCGCGGTAACAGACCCAGATCCTGATGCTGAGCCCTGAGCTGTAATCTTCTCTGGTTATCATTTCACATCCAAAGCCTGGAGGTTTCCTAAGGGGTCTGCAGGGCCCAGACCCAGAAGCAGCAGCTGAATTTCTTCATGCTAGCCCTGCCCTCACCTCTATGTTGGCTCTGTGCAGCTCACCATCACCACCTGCCAGAACCTGACAGGGTTTCAGTGACCTGCCCATCTGGCTATGTCAGGCAGTGTCCAGCAGCCTCTCCAGGTCCTGGGAGAGAAGAAGTTACATGTTATTCTGGCTCTTTTGTCAGCAGTATACATACAGAGATTAAACTGTGAAATGAGTACACAGGCTTCCTTACTGAAAAGGTAGGCCTGGGCTTCCTGCAGTCTAGCGACCCCAGCAGTTAGCCCTTAGGCAAATCTTGTGGTATTTCCTTCCACAGCTCCAAGTAAGTGGCTTGTAAACCACTGCTGAGTATATTTTTAACTTACTGATTTCTTAGCTTCCCTGTAGAGTCCAGAGCCTACACTCTTTCCAGCCCCTGCATCCTAACTCATAGCCTGGCTTTTTTTTTTTTTTTTTCCTTTTTTGTAATGTCTGCCTAATGTTCTCTGTAGTTAGGTTAATAAAGTGCATGTCCTGACTGGAGTCTCGGTGTATGCTCAGACAGTAGGTGGGAGAGGCCACCTGCAGCTTCATCTGCTGAAGTGATACTCCTTCCAGACTCTGCCTCTCATGTAGCTCTCATCTGAACAGTTTATCTCCATTCTGCCCTTGCTGGGGCATATTGTTTATGGGATCCTGGTGGCTCCCTTCTGTAGGGAGTACCCTGTTTAGCTGGAGTACATTGTCTTGTGGTTAATGAGAGAAGGGTTCCTAGGAGGCACAGATCTTGCTTGAAGTCTGTGGTGTCTGGTTCTTGGCCCTTTATAATTTTTTTGTGTTTCCTCCTTGCTCCTGGGTGTCTGGGGTGTGGGCAGTTTGTATCCCTGCCTGTGGATCTGCCTTTTGAATTTTCACTCTGAATCCTCTCCTGGTCAGCCATCCTGAGCTGGGGTGGGGCAGGGCCTCTGAAGGCATCCTGTGCTTTTCTCTGAGTCTTTCCATCTTGTTCCTTTCATTCTGTTTCTGGTCAAGATTTTCAGCTATCTCTTAATTTTCTGTAGCATTTTCCATTTCTGGGAGTTGGTTTTGGTGTCTATGAAGGCAGCTTGCTTGCTTTGCAGTGCTGAGGAGAGACATGGGGCCTTGTACATGCTAGCAAGTCTCTTAACATACAACCCTGAAGGCTCCTTCTCTGCCATGCTGCTGTGGCTTCATGGGTATCTGACATCATTGAGTCTGGTCAGGTCTCTTCCCCTTGCCAAGCCTCCATTTCCTCTGGCACCTGCTGTTTGTTTGGGTCTCTCATGGTGAGATTTTCTGTAGCTATCTGTCCAAGTGGGTGGCTGGCTTCCCACGGAAGCCTGTGAGCACCTTGTAGGGTTGTGGTTGTCACATTGCAGGCCACTTCAGAACCACTCAGAGGGCTGGTAAAACAAATTCCTGAGTTTCCTTCTGAGCAGGTCCAGTTGCCCTGAGAGCTTGTATTTCCAGTTAGTTTAAGGTGATGACTGACAGCACTGCTCTAAGAAGCCACTAGAAGAAACCCACACCTTAGGTGGCCCTGTTGGAAGTGCCCTGGAGGTGAGCACTGTCTTCCCTCTAAACTAGTCACAGCCTCCTCCTCCTAGCTTCGTTCTTTCTGCCTCTTGCTTGGGGAGCAGGTTTGGCTCTTAGCTCTACCCTCTCAGTCTTCTGTATGCTACCATCAGAGGCTTGGCATGGGGAGTCCTGCATGCCTGGCCCTGCCTCAGCAGAGGACTATAGTGAGGGCTGGATGAACTCCTGCTTGCCACTGTGGTTTCTTGGGTGGACACTGCAGAGCAGTGGCAGCATTGAGAGCAGGCATGTGGGGAGCCCATGACTACACTTCCAAGTGTCCCAGAAGAACTGTGCAGAGGAATGAGCTGGAACCAGTGTATGCAGTGCTTTCCACAGACTTATAGTCTTGGGTCCTAGTGAAGGCCTGCTCCATCTGGCACAGTTCAAAGTTCCACAGTACAGAAGGGGAGTATAGTTGATTGTAACCTCTGCTGCCTGCCCACAGTGCAGGCCAGGAAGCCACCATTACCAGTATAGGTGGTACACCCTTTTTAAAAGACAAACTCACAGACCCTAGCTAGGGCTGACCTTGTGGGTAGGGCTTCAAAGGCTACAGAAAGGCTTGATGTGTTGGGTCTCTTCCACACACATTACTCACACGGCAGTAGTGATCTGGGGCTTAGCAGATGATGGATGGATGGAAAGACTTTCCATCTACACTACAGGGGGGCTTACTCTTTCCACCCAATCAGCTGAAAATCTCTCACTGCAGTATTTCCAAAAATCTCATCACCCTCTGCCATCTCTCTCCGTTTCCTGATCTCACCAGAACTGGACCATTTCCTAAGTTCCCATCTAGAGGTTGTCTCCTCCTTACTGTCAGTGCCTTTCAGGTAGATCTAAGGCAAAGAGGGCAGAATGAAGGTGACAGGAGTTCCAATTTCATCTCCGGTCCTACTAGATGGAGAGTTGGTTTCCAGGTTGCACATGGCGCTAGACTGAGCCTTTAGTCTCCCTGGGAAGATGAGCAGCATGTAATCAGGTTCCAGGTGAAACTTAACAGTTGTAAACAATGTTAGCAAACATTTGTATCCTCCAGTTCTTTTGTGAGAATTGTGTATCTGTCAGTTTATACCTAAAGGGCAGACATCTCCCTGCCCTCCAGGTACTTTCAGCACCTCCCATGTGCTGTCTCCCTAGGCCTGTGCTTGGCTTCACCATGACCCACACCCCACCATACCATACCACCCTTCTGGAGAGTCGTCAGTGACATTTTCCTTATGAGGGATGGTGCACATCTGTCTTCCCACTTAAGAGCTTCTTACCGCCTGTGAACTGTTAGTTCATATGCTTTTCATATTGACTCTTACCTATTTTGTAATAGGCTAACCCTTAGGGAGCTGGAGAGATGGTTTAGTGGTTAAGAGCACTGGCTGCTGCTGTAGAGGTCCTGAGTTCTGTTCCAGCACCCACAGCACAGCTAATAACCGTCTGTAATTCCAGTTCCAGGAGATCAAATGCACTCTTCTGGCCCCCATGGGCATTGCATGCACATGATAAACTTACATATAGGCAGGTAAAACACTCATATACATTAAGTTAAAATAAATGAACTGAAAATAAGTTTTTTAAACAGCTAGCCCGTAGGGCAAGAGTTCCAAATATTAAAATACTTTCACTTTGTCATTTTTCTTTTTTTTTCCATAAAGACTTTAGATGTTATAAATACTAAATTTTTAAACTTTTTATTAATTTATTTTACAGATAAGTTTTATTTCATTTCTCACCTTCCCTACTCCATCATTATTAAAGAACTTTCAAAGTCTGCTTTCTTCCTGGTTCTTCTGTGTTTTTCTGTTTAGGTAGAATGCATTCCTGTCTGAGACATAAAGTATAAGTGTAGCTAGATTGTCCAGTCCCCAGACATCTTGTGTTCACCTGCCTTCTCACAGCCTCAGTGCTCACACACTAGGTTGTTTCTGGGCCCTCTTTCTGGGTGTGTGCCATCTAGTTTACTGCCTCTCTTCTGCTTTGTGTCAGGCTTGGAGCTAGGTGGTACCAGCTTATGTTTTCCCGTATTCCCTTCCCCCACCATTAAAAAAAGTCAAAGCCCATTTTTGGGAAATCATAATATTTTAAAGTTCAAGGTAAATGGAATTAGCATTTGATCTGTAGATCATCCTGTGGAAGAGCAGAGGTCAGGGTGCCGTTCTGCTCAGTTAGTATGTTGGAGTTCTGAAATCTTTGGTTGGCTTACTGAGTTTATTCCTGCCTGCTGCAGTCTTCTGTTGCCCAGGTAAATACGGTCATCTCATTGTACCCTCTTAGAGTACAGAGGCTTATGCCCAATACCCTCACTTCCCCAGTGTTGGTAGTGATCCTGAGGTGCTGTTGTGCTGCCAGTGAACCGGTACCTCACCTGTGCATGATGCTCCTTTACCTGCCTTCCCCTCTTTTTGCCTTCCTGGTACCTCATCAGAAGCAGGCCCAGTTAAGGAGGGGGTGGGAGCTCTTGTAAACCAGGCCCCAGGGCCTGAACAGTAGTGCCCTGTGGTGTAGACACAGTAACCTCTCTGAGCCTCTGGTTTTCCATCTTTAGGAGTTGGCACCTGCTTTTTAAGGACTTCGTGGGAGGACATAGACCTTATATGTGTGAAGCAGTTGGTCAGTGGCCTGGCACAGACTGAGGGTTCAGTAGTGTTAGCTAGCATAATGAGTAGCCTTATGTTGTAGAGGTATCTCTCTTGGAGAATTGATTCTTGTGATTGGGACTTGTTCTCTCCTGGTCAGATTTGGTATGGGCCACTGACCTAAGTATAAAATCATAGGTAGGGCGTGCTGCTGTCTAGAGTCAGCATCTACCCCATGCCTTGTGGGACCTGTGCTTATCTGACCAGGTGGACTGGACGACACGCTGCATACCATCATCGATTGTGCCTGTGAGCAGAACATTCCCTTTGTGTTTGCACTCAACCGCAAGGCTCTGGGCCGTAGTCTGAACAAAGCAGTACCTGTCAGCGTTGTGGGGATCTTCAGCTACGATGGGGCCCAGGTGAGTTGGGCCCCAGCCTCTTGGTCATGGCTTGTGAGCCTACCAGCTGGCAGGCCATAGCCGATGTTAAGTTGGCCCCAAGGAGAACACCCTCCAAAGCAGAACCTCTCAGAAAGTTAGAGGTCTTGTCTCCCTAATAACACCACATTAAAGGTCCTGAATTTGACTCTAGGCTCATTGCCAACAGAGAGGCACTGCAGGCTGAAAGAATTGGCCAGGTCCCTCTTCTCCTGGCAGCACCTACAGGCAAGAGGTCACACCAGCCATGTTGCCCCTTCCTCTCTTTGGAGGGTGCTATCCTGCAGTGCACTGGGAACGAATCACCTCCCATAAGTCAAGATGCCACCTGTGTGCTCTCTTGTACCCAAGGACCAGTTCCACAAGATGGTTGAGCTGACCATGGCAGCCCGACAGGCATACAAGACCATGTTGGAGAAGGTGCGGCAGGAGTTGGCAGGCGAGCCTAGGCCTCAGACCCCTCCCAGCCCTCCCACACAGGGCCTCAGGTGCTCTGCCCAGGACAGTTCCCCAACCTGCACTGGAAAAGAGCCACACTACAGTAAGTGCTCTGGGGAGGGGGACATCTCCAGTTATTTATCAGTGTTAATCAGAGACCTCAGGAGTGCAGTGTGGTGCCAGTGCCTTAAGACCAGCTGCAGCGGACTCTGAGATATTGTCAAATTTTGGAAGCGCCAAGGCTTATTTACCATGATGCTCTTAGACTTTGAGCTAAATGTCACCTGGACAGAGGTGGTTTAAGGGCAGCTAAACACAAGATGAGCTTGGGAGGCCGAGGACCTTAGCTCTCAGGACCTTTGGGAGGTCCGTGCTCTCAGGACCATTGTTCACTGAAACCTGCTCTCTAGGGCTGTGATTAATGCTGGTCATTAAGGGAAAGCCCAGCCTAGCAGGTGGGAGGAGTGAGTAGTGCTGGCTGGGCAGCCCTGAGCTGGGCATCTGTAACTCATGCCACCCTCCAGGCTCTGATGGAGCTTTGTGGCCTGTCAGTGTCTGCTCGTCACTTGAGCTGTTTCCCTGTTTCAGTTGAGATTTGGAGAAAGCATCTGGAAGCGTACAGTCAATGCACTCTGGAGCTGGAAGACTCACTGGAGGCTTCGACCTCTCAGATGATGAACTTGAATTTATAAGAAGAGAGTTCTTGCCTATGTGTCTGTTGGGTAAGGGAGCAGGAGGCAGGAAAAAGACTTCCTTCTCCATTCTTTACTGATTTAATGTATTTTTTTTTTTTTTTTTTTTTTTTTTTTTGTGGCTGCTGAGTTGAAAACTCACTGGCCTGAAGGCAAAGGAAGCAGTGGGTGCAGCAATGTGAATCCATCAGATGGACACTCGGGAAAGGAGCTAAGAGCCTGAGAGTTCAGCTTGAGTTCTCTCTGCTCACTGTGGATCTGGAAATACTGGAGAACCTGCTCCTGGGTACTTTGGCTGCTAAGGAAGCACTTCATTGCAGTGCAGCTGAGCCATGCCATGCCAGAGGGTTTGCAGAGCAGGGTTGGGCTCCTGGAGGGAGGTGGGAAGGGCACTTTCTCAGGGGACTGAGCTCTGCCACTTTGTGCTACCGATGGTTTGCTAATGAGCCTAAGAAGGAATTCGTTCCGGACTTGTGACTTTTTGGCATAAGTTTCTCCTTTTAGTTTTTATTTTCCAAAGAAGCAATATATATTGAAATTCGTAAATTTCAGTTTGATAATCTACAAATCTTTTTTAATGAACATTAAATTATGAATGTGGTTTCTGTCTTAGATGACAGTCTACTTTCATACTTTCCCTGCAAGTAAGAGGGCTTATTTATTTTGAATAAAGAGTGATTATTTAATTTTATCTCAGACTCTGGTGCTCTTCATCTTCAGCTTGTCAATCTTACTGGTCACTCCCACACCCTGAGTTGTTCCTCTTTAACACTGTTCTGAACAATAGGCCCAAGCAGGAGCAGTCACTGTGCTCAGCCCTAGAACCAGTGACTGCTGAAGTCTGCAGTCTGCTCAGTCTCAACCTGGGCTTGTATTCCTTTTACCAAAGCCTGTTCTGTGCCATAAAAGGTTTTTGGTTGTTTGCAAAGTAAATAAGTATTGGCTTTGAAAATTCTGTTGATTGAATTCAGTCACACTCAACATTGTCTCTGAGAAGAGAGTGGCCTATGATGAGCACTAAAATTAGAAGACTGAGTCAGAAATGTCATGCTTCGTGCAGGACTGGCAGCAGGTCTGGGCTTGAGGCCTGAAGCACCACCTGCTCTGCCATCTGGATTTTGTGGCCAGTACCTGCCCCATGTTGACACATCTGTTTCAGTGTGAGAAGTAGACATGGCTGACTGGATCAGCAGGATGGGAAGGGCTCTTTTCCTCTTGCCCCTCCACCATCTCAGTACACAGCAAGTTGATTGTAATTTTAAAATAAAGGGCTAGAGAGATAGCTCAGCGGTTAAGAGTACTGCCTACCCTTGCAGAGGACCTGAATTCAGTTCCTAGCACCCACATGGTGACTGACTGACAGCTGTCCTTAACTCCAATTCCAAGGGATCCAATGCATTCTTCTGGCCTCCAAGGGCATTATACACACAGATGCACTTATATACATGTAGGGAAAACACCCAGACACATAAAATAAAATTTAAAAATAATGTTTGAAAATAAGAAATTATTTGAGAATAAAAGCTCTGAAATTAGCTCATGGAGAAATGTTTAAGTACTCTGTCAGCTGTATGTAGCAGCTAGAATTGTAAAGTCAGATAAGCCAGAAAACGATCTGAAATGTCTCCTGGGTTGAGGACCTTCTGTCCTAAGGCTGCTGGGTCTGTGGCCCAAGCAGAGTGTACATGGTTGGGTTTTTGACTTCTCATTCAGCTTCCAGAGATTTCCTTTGCATTTGGTTTAACTACATCCTTGTCCGTAGTTCCCTGCTTGTGCTGTCACTTCTCTGGTAGTAGAGGAGTCCTGCTGAGGCCAGCACTATGGATGAGATCACTAGCCTGCCTTCCCATTGTACCATAGGTCTGGGCACTGAACTGAGACATACGTGCGAATGTTCACTCGTACTTCAGCAATCCAAGGAGTCAGTCATAGGTTCATCCTCATAAGCACAATGCCTGGCAGAATTGCTTTGTGGCATGGGTGGGCTCTGACAAATCCAGACTGCGAAGTGTCTCTGAGATTAAAGTCTAGGCAGTTCATGGGCCAAGCCTCCATCGGGGTCACACACACCGAGAGGCCTCGAGAATTGGCTGTAATATTACATTAGAGATTCCGAAGCAGCTACAAGGCACGCCACTAGAGCACTGGCAAAACATTTTAATTCGGCACCAGGAGATTTGCATAATTGACCTGCTTGACTTTTCTACCTCAGATAAGCCTGGGATCCTGTTGCAGAAGTGGAGCACTGACAGGGTAAACACGGGCTAGAACCTCTGTGCTTTAGAAAATGGGGCCTCTTGTTCTGAGATTAGCAAAGAGCAACAGACAGACAGTACAGGTCCACCCAACTGTCCCTCATCCTCACTCAAGTTTTAAGGCAAAGAATTTTCACTTGGAATCACATCTCTCCCCTCCAGGTGTGAATCCTAAAGTGGCAGCAAGCTCTACTTAGATCTGAAGAACCAGAGTAGGGATTTGGCTGTGCTGACCCTGGGGGAGGGGTTTAAGTGTGTGGTGAAGTCCTGGGGTCCTGTTGGGGTGACCACCATGGTGCGTCTTCTTGTCGCTGGTCTATGGACAGCTATTTGGGTATGGAACCTCCTAAATAGCCTGGCCACCTGTTTCTGCCTTCTGTTGTGTAAGCACCTAATTCTAAAAGGTCCTGGTCTCTGTCCCAGGCCCAGTGGGGGTCAGGGCTGTTGTGATGCCCAGCCTCTGGAAGGGGCCAGTCAGGCAGTGGCTGATGGCTGTGTATGGAGCCTGGCCAGGGCTGGACAGCATGGTGTTGTGGGTGCTGATGCCTTCAACCTGGTATCTGGCTGGTGTCAGGGTCAGTGGAAGTCTGCCAGGAGCTGCCTCGGGTGGCTAGAATGTGTCCTTGCTGCAGCTTTCCTGAAAGAAACAAGGTGGTCTTTGAGTTCTTGGTCTCATAGAATGGGCCTTCCCTAGTCTGGGAGCGTGGAGAGGTATCCTGAGTTCAGCCTGTGTGGGGGAGGATTCCCCAGGGTCTAAGGATCAGAGCACTTGGGACTAGTTCCCCCAAGGAATAGAAGACAGAAGTAGCCCGTGTGCCCCAGCTCTTGGTCCTGCTGCTTCAAACAGGTGCTCTGGTGAACATGAGCTGCTTAGCCAGGCATCAGCACTTCCAGGAAGAAGAGACATGGAGCAGGCTCTGATCATATGGCTGAGTCAGGCAGCATCTCCCAACATCACAGAGGGCCTGGGGGAGAGACCTGCATAGGCTCCAGTGAGAGAACCAACCACATCCTTGTTGACAGCCTCGCAGCCATCTAATCCACACACTTGGACTGAGCTCAGTCTAAGTGGTCAGACACTCCCCTCTCCCACCACCCATCCCCCACTAATGTGTAGCTCATCCAAAGGTAAACTCTGGCTTTGCCTTCTTCTTCAGGGTAGCATAGTGACTTAAGGAGCCTATGTGGGGAAGCCCTGCCTGGGGATGCCCTAGCTTCGTCAGGTTTGTACGTAGTGACAGCCCCACACAGGCTGAGCTCAAGATACCTCTCCATGCTCCTCAGCAGCAACTAGTTAAGAACCACCAGGAGGCAGCCCATCTATGGCCACTCTCCTGCCATGCCATGAAAGCTGTTTGTTACAGAGGACCTGTTCAGGGGCTGGGGCAATCCTGGGACCTAGCAGATAGCCACCGGCCTGTGTATGTCCCACAATCCAGTGGTGACATCACAAGGTGTCCCAATGCTGTAGAATCAAGAGCAGAACTGCTCAACAGGCTGAGAGGAAGTCAGAGGGGCCCACTGACAAAATCAGAGTCTCCTGCAAGGACCCCTGTTGGCCAGATACCTACCCATGCCTTCCTCCAGCCCTGCATCAGCCGGTCGTGCTCCCCAACCACAGCTCGCCAGGTGGCAAGCTCTCGGCTCCATTCTTCTTGCTGGAACACCTCTGGAAGACAAGCGGGGCCAGTGTCACAGCTTTGTGAGTCTCTGGGGTACCATCGATGCACACCATCCCCCAAGGCCACACAATAGGCTGAGTGGGGCCCAGCTCTGATGGCTTGTCCCACTGGGGAGTCCTCTCCCTGTCCTGAGCAAGCCACAGCAGGAGTGGGGAGTCTGTGGGTTTTGTTTTTTGTTACTGTTTTGTTTGTGTTTGCGACAGGATTTTGCTTTGTAGCTCTAGTTGGCCTTGTACTTGAAGTTTTCCTATTTTCAGCCTTTCCAGTGGTGGACTTTCAAGTATGTGCCACCAGTCAGTGTCTACACACACACACACACACACACACACTGACCCTTCTGGCTGCAGCTGCTAGCATTTGCCCTCCAAGGCCCCGCAGACCTGTCCACCACATACCATTGTCACTTCCTATGTGGCAAAGGCCCTATTCCCACAGCTGTGTCCAGTGACACAGACCCCATATCTCAGGTGGGCCCATGGCTTCCTCCAGCTCCCTCTAGTAAATATAGGTGCTGAGGCTTCCAAATTGGTTTAGCTGTCACCACAGCTGGTGGCATCTGTGGGTTCTGGACATGTAACACCCCTTGCCTTTCATTCTCCATGGCCGCCTAACTAGACTTTCTCCTGGACTCTGAAAACAACCCCAAGAGCATGCAGAGATGAAGTATACCGTATCCCTGAACTACTGCTTTCGCCATCAGCTTCAGAAATAACAAGATTCTGAGCCCTTCGGATGTGGAGAACAGAACTAAAAAGGTCCCAGTGATCATTCAGAGTGCCATGCACACCCACCTGACCCTGAGCACAGTCCAGACCCCTGTAGGACGTGGGGAGAGGACCAAGTTCTTCCTCCGTGATCCTCAGAGGGCCCCCTCCATCCCATCTGATTCTGACAGCACAGGTGAGCAAGGCAGCCCCCCCCCCCAAAAAAAAAGGATAACTTCACCCTGCTACAACTTTGCTGGACTTTGAAAAACCTTGGGCTGGAGAAGGTAGCCCCCCCCCAACATGTGTATAGCAGAACGTGTTTGTAGAGAAATTTGGGTATAACATTGCTATTTTCAAAATCAAGACCTGTTCTGGATTTCTGTTCATCATGTTACCAGGGACACAGCAGCACTGTCATTAGATACTGAGGCATGAGCCTGATGCCTCTCTAGAAACTGCATAGCCATTCAGGGCTTTGCTCAGATGTGGAGAGTAAACTCGCAGTTTTCTCCAGCACTCACTAAAGGACAGTAGTTGTATTATATGTGTGTGTAAAAACAAGAACAAAATAGAGGAAGCTGCAAAGGACCTGGAAGGTGGGAAGCTGTAAGACGTGGCCACTGTCTTGGGAAGTCAAGGAATCACCTCGCAGCAAGACCTGTGATGCAACACTGATGAACCCTCTGGATGTGGGGTGCTAAGGTGCACATGGCTTCAAAGACTACCCAGCCAAGACCACCCTCCCTCTGCCCTCTGCAGAACAAAAGGTCTATGTGCTGGGTACACAGCACAGGTTCAGTGGATAGCCCATGCTGAAGGAGGAAGCCCTGCCCTTTCCACTTAAGTCCCCAGACCCCAGGCCCAGCTAAACCCTGCTGTACCCTGTTATTTACTCCAGGTATAGGATGCAGCTGTGTATTGATGCTGAGTTAGAGCCTGTATTCTTTGAGAGCCCAGAGGGCTCTAGCCCATTCCCTCAGTACCATGCACAGGAATCACCTGCAGAGGACTTGGAGCCTCTCACCCTAGCAGGTCTGACGCCTGGTA